TACACGATCACAGCTCGGACGCTTCTTGAAAAATGTGATGACTATCAATTTCAGCGATTGATTCTGCAGTTTCAAGCTTTTGGAAAAATTATCGTATCCCAAGCATTACAAGCATGTTCATCATAACCCGAGCATAAAGCGCGCCTCGAGATGTTGCGCGACGAGAACGTGGCTCCATGTTTTATGAGACAAACCATTTCCAAAAGTTTGAACGAATCGAGTATAAAGCATGAAAACATAGCGCTGAACAGTACCATGACCAAACAATCAAATTCACACCTCCCACAATAGGACTGACTCCATTTTGCCGTAAGTTAGTCTCCACCACACATTTGCGGTCGGTAATTTAATTCTCAGATGTTTGACGGGTTCTCACATGACACTACTATCAAAATCAAATTACCGCGTCAGACCTAACGTAAACATGAACATCGCTGACTCAATCTCATGTTATTTCAATTTTGAGAAAGGCCATTTCTTCGTTCTTAGGGTAAAAAAACAGATCTTCGACAAAGCACGATTTTTTTTTTCATGAATAGAGTAGATTCTGTGGTAGTTAACTGAAGAGAAAAATAGGTAGAAATTTGCTCACGCCGTTCGCTATCGTTTGAAAACTTTCTAGGCAAAACATAATCCGTAAGATAACCTCTTTTCCCTTAAAACCAACTCTATTAAACATTCCGAACGATATGACAAGAAATAATCTAAGAATACGAACACTTTGAAATGTTATTCGAGCGATGAACCAGCGCGAGGGTTTTTAGGCGATGAGTCAAGTCATTGTTAAGTCATTGTTTTACCGAAACTTAATTTGAATTTTAAACTGAAGCTAATATCAAACAACGATTGGTAAAAAAATGTTTGAATTTTTCTAGGCCTTAGCGTGAGAGAAAATCGAGATAAGACACGACTTACCTCCTCTTCTTTCTCGGATCCTTTGTAATTCGCTTCTCTTTGTTGATGACCTCTTTTCAGTTTGTTTTCAGGAGCGTCTTTGTATTTCCTTCTCACCTTGCTCTTCACTAAATATATACGTCTTTTCTTGTTCACTTTCGAGTTCCTCTCGCCGTATTCTGCCTATTTTGGCGTCCTTTCTAACTTTCTTTGGCGTTTTTATCGACTCGCTTTACGCCTTTTACTTCTTGCTTTCTTTGGCCGCTCTGTCTCTTTCTTTCCAGCCTATTTTCACTCAAAACCCTCTCTCCACGAACTTGAATTATAACAATTTCCTCCGGTTGACAAAGCTTTAGCTCTACCGGTATCGTCACTCTGCGAGTTGATTAGAAATCGTAAAGTACTGAGAATTATTGTTTAACTCCAACCTCACCAGTTTGATTTCCCGCTCAAAACGCGGGTTGCGAATTATTTTCTTACGCGGCTTCACATCTACTATCCCACATGAAGCCCTCGTTGTTTAGCTGCACTAAAGCTTGGCACTCGAGTATGAGCACTTCATTGTCATCTGCCGGTGTCTTTTGGCGCACACTAATGGGTATCTAAGTTACGCACGCAATCGCACCTGCGCATTACCTTTTCCCTTGCCCTTCCATTACGTAATAGCTAAGATAGTGCCTGCGGTGCAGTTGGCTGCGCATGCTAAAAGTAGCACCGTGTACGGTCGGTCTACGGTCGTAAGTCCAAATTTTTTTAGGCTTGATGGGTTACTACTACTACCTCAAATTCTGATTGAAAACGTTGTTACTTTCTCCTCACCTGTCCGCCATAATGTATTGTTGTGCTTTCACTTTTCGACTATCAATAAACTTAATTTCAACTTTCTGCAGCCAATTTCAACTTTCTCCACTCAATTGATCCATAAGAAGCTAGCGATCGCTTATTCAACCGGCCATGTTTGACTTGGAGTTAGAGTCGAAGATGGGGGAAAGGGGCGGGAAAAGACAAAGGAATATTAATTCATAGCCCCACCCCCTCCCCCTTCCTTTCCTTTATACTGTCGCTCGCCCCCTGGTACAAATTTTTTTCTCTCCCCAGTCCTACCCTGCCATAAAAATCAAAGATGGCAGCTATAATTGTCACCAAAATAAATCTGAGCGCTCACCTGTCGAAATTGCGCTTGCTCTGCAGGCTACTGTCAAGCCGATGCAAATAAAGTTGTTCTAAGGACTTAATATCAGCTGATTCTAGAAAGGTTTCGTGTAACATAAATTTAGGATGTTAATAGATGACGTTGTTGTTCTCCATTTTACCAACACGCCAATTCTAGGACTACATTACTATATGTGAGGGAGCACATACGTCTCATTAAGACCTTACATTATGTCCTTTTACTAAAATAAGCGACATAATTACTGAACTGACCAACTTTTAAGTATAATTAATGAAAAATAAGTATTTTATGAATTAATTTCAGTTAGAAAATTACAAATTGTGTGACCACTCTTGCTGTTTTATAGAAAAGGCTATAGGTGACTGCAAACTAGAAGAAACCAAAGAGGAACTCAGGAAAACTGAAAAAGAGCTCTTACTTGTGAAGAAAAAGGCCGCAAGAGAGAAGGAGACACTTAAAAAAGGTAAGAATCACGGTGCTAAACCAGCAAAACGAATTCATGTATAATGTTTTCATTGACAAATCCATTTGACAATAGGTAGTTTATTAAAAAAAAATTTACTCTTATCAAATGCGTTGATGATGTAAATTCTTCTGTGCGAAATGACAAAGGGCTCACGCTCGAAACGTCGGCTTAGAAACTCTTTACGCCGGTTGCCTAATTTACGTTATTAACTCAGTTGATAAAGCCAAATTATCTTGTCATACTTCCCCACCAGCGCAGCACCACAGTTTCTTTTGAAACATACCCCCTTTATAAATTTGTGGTTTATGAAAAAGTTTTGCTCGCGTATGGACCGTGGCTGTGAACCGTGACATTTAATTCGAGTGATTTCACTGATATCATATAAATAGACCATCTCCGAACAATAGGCTAGAACAAAGCTGGTGCCAAAAATCTAAGAATATTGCACGTAGACCTCAGCATTACATTGCGTAACTAGCTTCCAACCTGCAGGGTCACGTATTCCACGCCCGCGGAGTCTGCGGCATTATAAGCCTTGAAACAAAAATTCATTCAGGGATGTTGCCTCAGGAAAAAACTTCAATCTTGTAAAATGTTTTTTAGTAATACTACATGGGATAGTTTGTTTAAGCGATTCATTATAAAATTTTTGATATTTTGCTAAAATAATCAGTAAATATCGCGTTTAAAGCAATTGAAACGTTGTCTTCAGAAAAGTATCTACCGTGATGATTCGAGTTAGTACCTGGGGCAGTACCTGGGGCGAATATTTAGTAATGGCACCTCAAAGGGGGGCGCTTATTTGAAACAGGGCGCCTATCAAGGGCGCTGTCACAGCGTTTGGCGTATCCGCGTGTCTACAGAATCCCCGCTTTTTTTGTTTGCAATTTGTGAGGTCTTTGTGTACTGAAGATCTCAAACAAGTGGTGTAGAACATTATATCAATAAGGATTTGAGTATTCTAACTACTCTAAGGCGTAGAGTTGACAAGAAATAATCTCCTTAAGGGCCTGTTTATATGGAGGTGGGGGACCTTAGGCAGGTGAGGGAGGTAACCCGCCTGTTTTTATAATCTCTTATTTTAATCTTGATCACGATTAAATGATAGGTTGGGTGACCTTCTTAGGAGGGTTGTCCGGTCTGCTGTGCCTTTCGGCCGGGGGTGACGACTGATTTGCCATGCAGGTGGGTAACCCGCCCAGCCGGGATGGCGTTTATGTTAAAAAAAGATCAAATGAGCCAAACAGTAGCGAAACGCGAGTGTGTTAAAAATTTGTACATTTCCTAGCCGTCCCAATGATACCTCGACAACGATTTTGTCACGTTTTACTCTGAACTCAAAGCTACATTCACATGTTATGCCGAAGTGAAGACGTTATACCGTCAGAAACGGTTGACGCTTTGAGCTGTTGGCGAAAATTTTAGAAGAAAATAATTTACGTTTTCCGGCAACGTTTTACCATACGTCGTCGCAGTGACATCTTAAACTCTTTTATTACGAGTTCGATAACAACCTCGAGAAGCTTCACCACGGCATCTCGGGGTTGTAAGATTGTATGTAAACGCGAACGGGTTCCCCACATTCATGTAAACAGGTCTTAGCTCGGTTTCTGCGTTTCTGTGATGTACAATTATATCTTAAAATAATAAAATCCCAACAATAGGTGTTAGAATTATTAGATATCGACTAGACTAGAGCTGACAAAGCTGACAACGACACCATTGGAACCTCATTGGAAAGGGATACCTATATCACTGAGTATCTCTTATCTTCTAATTTAGTTTAAGGTAAACATGTAACACCCAAAACCCGAGGATACCACGAACACTGTGACAGCGCACATTTTTTTTCGAGAAAAAGTAAATGCTGATCAATGACATAATTTTGTTTGCATCGTAGATATTTCAAGTACAATTGACTATCGGCAAACAGTCGTCACTGCAGAACATATTCTGTTAATCATTGATGACATAGCACAAAACTGGAGGGATCTGTGTGTTAGGTTGAAACTTCCAACATCAGTGATCGGCATTATTGACGCTGATGGCAAAAATGTCCGCAACAAAGGCTGGGAGGAGTGCCTCAAGTGGACATACAGACAAGCAAGTGGGGCCACGTTAGGGGTTCTTACAGATGCCCTTGAAAATGTAGGAAAAAGAAGTTCTGCGCGTACACTGTTAGGTACAGTGGAGCCCCGCATGACGGCCACCTCGGTAATACGGTCACCTCGTTATTACGGCCGCTATATTTTGGCTTTGCAAAACGGCCATACATTTCCTGGTCACTTGTTGATACGGCCAACGGCCACATTTTAAATCCCAAACAGTAGAATCCCCTATAATTTAACACCGTTAATACGGCCCTTAATTTAGAAAGTAATATTACTAATCGAACAGCCGATTTAATTCACCAGTTTATAAGCAACACTCCTCACTGTTTTCATTACAAACATGATAGAGGAAATAAATCTTGACGCTAACATCCACTAACATGCCAGCCATGTTAAGATATGGGAAGGATCTTTCTATTTTCATACAATCAGGAAAAATACCTTACGAGTTGAATAAATGTACTGCATTCGTAAGGGGGGTGGGGTGGGGTGGGGGGGCTGAAATACAGTAATAGGGGCTAGGAGAGGATAATCCCCTGAGCTTTTCGTGGAATGAATTCAAATTCTGCTTTAATTTAAAAACACCAATCTGTAAAACGAGCACTTTTCAGGCCTCTTACCTCTAGTTTTTCGAGTCCGCTCTCCTTCCAGCTTTTCGTTAAACAAACACTTTTTGACCGCCTGAGAATGTCCTTTGACATTGACTGGCCCTATACGTGGACACTAGTTAGAACTTACTCATGCCAAAAGCTATAGGTGCAGTGGACGCTAGACAAACTTGTTGCAATTAAGATTTCTTGTGTATTATTTTATTTTAGCTACGGGGCGGTGCCTCGCGTGGGACTTCAGTCCCGTTCGCACCTGCCCTTTTGGTTTAGTATTACTCTTGTTTCTATCTTCATTTATTTTTGTCTCTGTGTTATATGTCTTTGTCATAAGTACTATGTTATAAGCCCAATAAAGTTGTTAAATCAAAACAAAAACAAAACAAATAAAACGGATCATGCAGTAGCCAGATTTCATGATGGATTATGCGTCACATGTACACACTACTTTTGGTTCAAAATTCTCAGTCGAATATGACAAGACGAACGCTTACGGGTGGTGTCGAATGTTGGTCAGAGTTGTTACTAGTCAAAGCCACGGGGCCGACCGATCTGTTTTCTAAAAATTTCGGAGACTTAATGTAAAGTCAGAAAGAATTTTCCAATCAAATGAAATTTTTAAGTTTCTTTACGCCTCGTCTTTGCTGCGTAGTAAATTTGACATAAATTAATTGAGAATTAATTATTGTTTTGATTGGTTACACGTTGGGAAAATCTACTTTATCGTGAAAGAATTTGCAGACATGAATGTGTTATATAAGAATTAGAGACTGGAAACCTTATCTTTTGCCTGCCTGAAAGCATCTCGCAAGTCAGCTTTCCCTAATACATCTGGGAAATCAGTGCAATAAACAAATATACCATTTTACTCGAGATCGAAAGCAATTTACTAATCCATCATTATCACTAGTTTCGGATCTTAGTTATTTTTAAAGTTATTAAATTTTTTACGAGCTCATGGCAAATAACATAATCAAGTCTCCAAGGAGGATTCCAACTGAACAAAGACCATCTAATTTCGCGGTCGTGTCAAAGTGAAATAAGAGTCATGGCGAAGTTATAAGAGTTTGTGTGGGAATATTTACAACCGCTCTTAGATTATAAAAATACCTCACCTTGCTTCCACAGTGCATCATTTGTCATCTGACCGCTTACTATGTTGAAAAGAACCTTTTTTAGCGAGTTCTCTATAGACATTACGTAATAATTCGGTGACCCGACCGGGAAAATGTGATTATCTTGTCTTCAAAGTTGTGAAAATGAAATACATAAAATAAGCAAACACTCAAAGACTCACTACTATTTGATGATATTCTCCGTGCGAGGAAAAACAAAAGGATTCCTGTAAAAACCACGTCTTGAGGTCCTGCTATAGCGTGTTTTGTGATAAGCAATTCTTTTAACTGGATAAACTGCTCCAAGTCTAATTTTCGTGTTTTTGACCCTCTTTATCTGTCTGCCGAGTCAATAACTGGTTGTGCTTACTTCAGGAGCAATCTGAGAAATAATCAGAGGGGCACTATCCGTTATCATTGTGACACAAATCGCTTTCGTGTAATCAGCTAAGTACTGGAAACCTTCAATCAAATACGTAATTATCAATTTTGGAAGCACCTCCACAATTCGTGTGGGGATGGCAACTGAATAACCACAAATTAGCTAAGTAAACAAGGAAAGTGGACGAACGGGAAGGCAATATATGCTTGCAGTCCGTCCTATAGCACATGTTTTCAGGCCAGTGTCACTGATGCTTTCACAACAGGAAATAACAAACGTTCTGGAACAGACTGGTATTCCCTGAAGACGCTCTAAAGGCCTATTTACACGGCACGACTTTGTCGCATGCGACAAGCTTACGACAGGCCTACGACATGATTTAAGAGTCGTAAGCGAGTTGTAGGTTTGATTTACACGAAACAATTCGTGTCGTAAGCCTGACGTAAGCTTGTCGCATGCAACAAAGTCGTACCGTGTAAATAGGCCCTAAGACAGCTATTATTCTGTAATTACTCTATCTCAGCTAGGAATACTAGATGATGTTGTCTATTACTTGATAAACAATGGGTTATTAGGTCGGTAAAAAAGCCATTCTCCTCCCCGCCCTACCCTGCAGTTTATTTCTCGTTTACGTGACGATTTTAAAACTGGAAGTGGTGGACACAATAGGACAAGATTTAATGTGTTTTATTCCTTATTTGGTCTGCTCCGTCATTCGATGCAACTCGTAATGGAAATGAAGTGACCAAGTGATTCTCCTGTGAAATTACATCCTGCGATTGTGATGTACATGGAAATTTTTCGTTTGACCTCTTGAAAGCAATCGTCACAGTTCTGTTGAACTAGAGGGATATCAAGGGAGAAAACTTAGCAGTTTTTGAAAATTTAAGCGAAAACTTGACCTTTCATCTAAAATTATTGGGAGCTCCCAATTACAATACAGCAAGACCATATCAGCCGTTCAAACCAAAACAGACATTCCTTGAGAGGGGTGTGAAAAGGGAATGAGTCAAGTAGAGTGAATCTGAAGACAGTACTGTAAGATAAATGAATAATAATGACAATAAGACCGAGTGGAGTCCAATTCGATCTGAAATCATACGAGTGATTAACAAAATCGGAAGTCGCGAAGCGGGAGTCCGATTTGTCAATCACGAGTATGATTACAACAGAATTGGATGACATGAAGTCCTGTTACCAATTAATTATAAGCGTTACAATTTCCGAGAAAAAAAATACATTTGGGACAAATATCTCTTGAAAGGACAACGTCTAAAGCGAAAAATTTGAAAATTTCCCAGTTTTCTTTTCGGGGTAAGTGGTTGTTGCCATGGTTATTGTGATCAATTCTGTGATTGGTGGATTTAGCTGAGTGGACTCAGTATAATTGGCTGCTTCAACTGTCCGATCACAGGTGATTACAGCCAATTGTCCGATTACAACTGTGCAGAGTTGTAAGTGAAATATAAAGCAGCTGATGCACCAATCAAATTTGAAGAAATTGTAATGGTTATTATTAATGAATAATATAATCGTAATAGCAATGGGCAAGACCAGACAATTTTATCACTACAGCAGGTAATTTAGTGTTAACAACTGGGTTGAAAACGTAAATTAGCCACC